AGACCTCTTTTGACTTGGAACATTCTGAAAAGAATGGAATGAATAACGGTCGATAAATGTAATTGAGTTTACATTGTATAATATACATTACTTTAAATGAACATTTCCATTCTAATGAAACTGTTTTTAATGTTTGTTTGTAAGTTATATTATTTTTTTTGGGGGGTGCGATTGCAAATTGACTTTGTTTTTACAACAAAATCAATTGCACATCTAATTGTAATTCGATTCACGGTTAATTACATTTTAGGCTAAATTGGTTTCCACTACAGGAATCGACTGCAATAAAATTCATCAATGTTTGTAAAATAAACATCATGATAATTTATAGAAATAAAGGTTAAAGATGCCAATAGGCCTGACATAAAACTGCGCGTTTGGCTTCCATTGGTATTTAGATCAACCTCTACGGTTCCCTTGGCAAAATTCCAAAAAACGCCATGCTCTAAAAACACTTCTAAGTAATCCACCCCACCTATAGGATTACCCACATGAATGCAACACGAATAACCCAGGCCTAAAACACTATTCAGGCTCCCCGTATACTCAACATGGCACACCCCTGCAGCAAGAATGGCATCAGAGGCGCTAGTGGTTTGTTCTCGAATATATTGCACCTGTTCCACTGGCATAAATTTGAATAACTCATTCTTGTTGCACCCATCAATCCCATTGCGTTGGTTGAGAAGCATAGGAAGATAAACTTCTACCTTGTGCTTAGCATCTTCACGGCTTATGACCTTGCTTTGATAGTCCTTATTACCACGCACCATAGATCGATAGAACTCACAATCGTTACGGTATGCTTTTATACATCTTCCCGATAACATCCACTCCAATGCGCGAGACTGCTTGGTAGAAATGCGATGCTCATACATTTTGAGTAAGCGATCAGTTAAATCAAAACAGAGAACACCAGAACGTAGATATGCTAGGTATTGGGTGGTTATTCCAAGTTTGAATTCAGTCTCTGCCTTTATACGTGAAATCAACACGTCTACATCGCGAATAAAGTACTGATAGACATGATGCAGCTCGACACACACATTCAGCAGCTTCATCACGATACTTTTAATTAACACATCATTTGCCACAACATCATGCGAAAGCCCTATTTCTACTTCTTTTAGCTTTTCGTTGATCGCGTTATTGCATAATTCAAGCTCTTGTATGTTGTATTCACTTTGCGCATCGAGTTTTTCCGATAAATATATATCCGTTGCAATAGCTAATGATTTCGTTTGAAAGATATTTTCTATATTTAGGATATCTTGCATTGCATCCTCGCTTCTATTTACGTGAATTATTGTTTATTCAATTAAGTCAATTGTACCGCACATCATATTTCGAATTGCAATTCCCTCCAATTAAACGCGAATAATTTAATTGCAATTTATTTGAATCAGCATAATTCAATCTTTAAATATTCTGTAAATGCAATATACTCTCAGGTAAATTAAGTGCAATACAGACATTATCTCAGGCCGAGTGAGCTATGCTAGACACCCTTAAATCAAAATTTATACCCTTTGATCCAGATAATTTCGATTTTTTTGACAATGAGACATATGTTGTATTAGTCCGTTACCACGGAACGAATGAATTAGGCCTGGCAACCGTTTCAGTTGATGAACAAGAGGGTTTCCGCGATGCAAGCAAATACCATCACCTTTATAAGAAAAAGTACACGATGGATCAGTTTAGCGTAATCAAAATTGCAGACCTTAATAGTGCTTTTGCTGAATCTCGCTCTAACACAAACAAAGCTCAATTCAATGACTCATGGAAACTCATCACATCACCTGTGACCGAGATAGGATCTGCGGTTTGGAGTTTGGTGCAAATTAAACGAGCACCTTTTTTTGGTGAAGACGAAAACAAAGACTATTGGCACTATGTCATAGCTAGAATTAGTGCTGATGAAGAAGATCCATTATATGGCCTGTATATGACCATCTACCACGAAAAAAAGCTTAAAAACTTTGCAATGGATGTTCTCGTCGAAGACATTGGATCACCTTATGCGTACCAGGCAATTAAATTAGAACAACTTATAGACGGGATGGAATCGAGTGAAAAGATAGAGGGTACGCAACCAACCAGTGTAGAAGATGCAAAAAATACTGATGATAAAAATGTAAATTCGACACTTTTAAAAATAGCTGTGATTTTTGCCGTGATCTTGGTGATTATCGGCGCAATCATCGCTTATAAGTAACGTGTAATAAATACGGGTTCCCGTGAAAGTGGAATCCGTATAACTCAATTAGTTAAAAAAGGAATAACAATGGAATAACCTTTCATCTGTATGATTTCCAATAGCAACCACGTCCACAAACAAAGCCCCAATGTTGCTAACATTGATTTTGAGTAATTGTATTCATCTGCCTGCTTCAAAATAAATACTTCATAAACTGTAATAGGTATAGAAAGCAGCAAAAGCACCCATGCTGCGAACGTCATCACCAACAAAATCGAATAAACAACTTCCATATCAAATCCAATGTATATGCCGTTAATCTCTCAATTAGCATTGTGCCAAGAGCTTATACGATAAATATTCCAACACCGTGTAAATAGAGCAATAAGTTTAAATTATTCAGATATTTTATTTATAGCCAAGCCAACGATTATATTTAATTACGCAATTGAGCCGTCATTCGTTTCTTCACTTGACTCTCAAAAGCCCGACTATTGTTTTCAAATAGAATATGATCAAATTTAACCATGAGAGTTCTAACAAATGATGAAATAAATTCCTGTAAGTAATTCGAATTATCACTAGTCGAATTCACAGTATTATCATCAAACTGAAAAATCAAAGGATAATTTACACAGTCGCGCACGTGGTTATAGATTCCGCCAAACATAACAAGCTCATAAATTAATTTTTGATGATCTGCGCGGTGAGAAAATACGGATAACTCAAATGAGAATATCCCGCTATCAACAAGCATTGGATTTGGGAAGTCAGAAGATAACTGCAAGACAGCATTAGAACCCAATAGACGTGAAGGATAACGCTCATTTGCAAAGATGTTTGTCAGGTATTGTTGGTACTTTTCACTGGGTGAAAATAGGCGATCAAACGTGTATTCTGTAATAACGCCACTCTCTTCTTTTTGATACGTCCCTCCCATCCCAAGTAGGGCTTGGTATATATTCTCAGCAACATCAGGAAGGAATGTATTCTGTTTAGCACTGTAATTGCTGAACATGCGATTGCTTGCCGTTGAAAGAATATTGTAGGAATTTTTATGCATTCGCTCAGAATAGCCACACATCATCCAAATCTCTTCAATATCTTTACTAATAACCGGCTTATCGGTCGTATATATGTATTGTAATAAAATTTTCAAACCATAAGAAATACGCAAATATAAATCATAGGTGACTATGAGTTTACTAGCATTCTCCACGTTGTAAGCATGCTCATTGCCATATTGCTTTAGCAGATCATCATTCATGAATGGCTTCGTGTTCTTCACTGTGTGCTTATTCATAACAAGCAGTAAGGTTTTTCTGAACTGATACTGGAACTGGTTGACGTAGACATAGAATTCAGTCAAGGCACACTGCACCTCATAAAAAAACTGAATAAGCTTTGAATATTCCGTGGAAATTTTCTCTTTATATAAACGGCTATCTACTATTACAGGAATGTATAACGGTGATCGCTCATTCAAGTACCCAGATATAATCGCATCATCGTAACTTTCAAAATATTTTAAGTATTTATCAATTACCGAATAATCGATATGATCTGATTTCTTTGCGAATTTTTTTGAAATGTATGGGTAGTCCGCAATTGCGATGCATTTTTCAATTATTTCAGGACTTGGTTTATGTTGCCATACATTTGGATCAGGCTGAATTGTATTTTTACTGAAATGTTTATTTTTGGCGTATTTCATATACATATTCGCATTGCGCGGTTGGGATGAATATATACTAATACAAACTCGACTAATCTTAATGTAAAAATGTGTTTTATTATTAAAAACAATCATTGTTAATCAATAACTCGCAATTACTTTTTTTAAAACAAATAACAATGCAATGTGACCATTAGAAAATTTTGATAATTGTTTTTTTGGAATAGCTATTCTCCTCTTATTATTCATAGTCCTTTTCTTTTTCACAGAAATAATAAAAGCCACCAGAAGGTGGCTTTTTTTCAAACGTCCCAAAGTGCTTTAACAGCAATTTTATTATTTAGAGAACGCAGCAGTAGCTAAAGCTTTAGGTAGGAAGATAGTTTCCAAGTTACCGCCAGACATGAAGAATGTGCCGTTGTTATTCACAGTTACAGTCAAAATTTTACCTGCAACTTTAGATGATACACCTGCAGCAGCAGCTTTAAAGGTATAAGTCATTGTACAGCCGCTAGACACTAAGTCACCAGTGGTAGCTAAAGGCGCACCACCTACAGTTAGCGTACCATATTTACCAACAACAGTATCTTCTGTACCAGTAGTACAAACACCCGCTTGTAAGTTGTTAGAGATCGCTGCTTTACCACCTGAAAATAAAGACATTGATTCTGCTGCTTGCGACTTCGCGATGTAGTTTTGGTATTGCGGTACTGCAACTGCTGCAAGAATACCAATAATAGCAACTACTATCATGAGTTCGATCAGTGTAAAGCCTGATTGATTTGTTTTCATTTCTATTTCCTTAGTAACTATACAATATTAGTTGATGACTATAATGCAATAGACATGCCAACTTATTAAATAGATATTAACCAAAACCTATACCACTGTTTTTAAAGTGTTTTTTAGAAAGGTGATAAGCGATTTTATATAAATGAGCCAAAACAACTAAAAAACCATGTTTATTTTTTTGTATTTAATTTGCATATTTTGTAACTATGCCGTTTTTTGTCATACATATTTTGCGAAATATGCTGCACAGCTAACAAATTAGAATTTTTTATAAAAAGCCACCCGTAGGTGGCTTTTTTTCAAACGTCCCAAAATGCTTTATCAGCAATTTTATTATTTAGAGAACGCAGCAGTAGCTAAAGCTTTAGGTAGGAAGATATCTTCCAAGGTGCCGCCAGACTTGAAGAATGTGCCGTTGTTATTCACAGTTACAGTCAAATCTTTACCTGCAACTTTTGTTGATACACCTGCAGCAGCAGCTTTAAAGGTATAAGTCATTGTACAGCCGCTAGACACTAAGTCACCAGTGGTAGCTAAAGGCGCACCACCTACAGTTAGCGTACCATATTTACCAACAACAGTATCTTCCGTACCAGTGGTACAAACGCCCGCTTGTAGGTTGTTAGAGATTGCGGCTTTACCACCTGAGAATAAAGACATTGATTCTGCTGCTTGCGACTTCGCGATGTAGTTTTGGTATTGCGGTACTGCAACTGCTGCAAGAATACCAATAATAGCAACTACTATCATGAGTTCGATCAGCGTGAAGCCTGATTGATTTGTTTTCATTTATAATTCCTTAGTAACTATACAATATTAGTTGATGCCTATATTGCAATAGACATGCCAACTTATTAAATAAATATTAACTAAAACCTATTCCATTGTTTTTAATGTGTTTTTTTTAGAAAGGTGAGGAGCGGTTTTATATAAATGAGCCAAAACAACTAAAAAACCATGTTCTTTTTTGTATTTAATTGACATATTTTGTAACTATGCCGTTTTTTGTCATACAAATTTTGTGAAATATGGCTGCACAGCTAACAAATTAGAATTTTTATATATCTTCCAATTTCTTTGAAACAGGATCTTCTAAGCCATTCGTACATACGCCCGTTTGTAGGTTGTTGAAGATCGCTGCATTACCACCTGATAATAAAGTCATTGCTTCTGCTGCTTGCGACTTCGCGATGTTTATTTGCATTTAATTGTTACGAGAATAACAACAAATACCTATGGAATGAGTACAAAGCCAACCTGATTCATTAAATGTATTGTCAATTTTGATGATTATGTATGTCATTTTTTGTAAATTAATAACACTTTCTAGCGAAAGCCTTAAGGTTTACCAGTTTTTTAGGCTGTTTAGGTCAGCATTAGCATGTCTTTTTCGCTGACTCTGTATACTGCAGACATTAACGTGAGGAATACTTATATGAGTTTAGATACAGAATTGATTTTAAGTACGCATGGCTTTTGTAGCTGTGAAGAACTATCAGCAATGCCTCATCTAAATCCTCATACTCAAGACCTTTTAGAGATGGTAAACGCTCAAAATTACGCTGAGATGTTTAATCTGCTTGATAGTATGCGGTCGTTCAAATTCAGTGAATCAAACTTCTATATCTATAAGCCATGTGCATTAAATGCGATTGTCTATGATTGCAAAGTTCATAATGGGGCTGTGTTTTTTGCAGTGTTTTATGCTTTAGATAACCATATTTCAAAGATTTGCCAAAGTAATGGATTTGAGTACGCGCCCGATAAAAACCTCTGGTACAAAACTGCACCCATATCTGAAAACACTGATCTAAATACACTAACTAAAAATGCGCTTGATCCATTTTTGAATGATCTCACGGCGTTTTGTCATTTAGCGATAAATAAGGCCAATTTAAGTGTGAACTACAACCGAAAATTGTTTTTTTAACCTCCTCTGCTTATACGTAGCCATCATGAAGAAAGCCTTTATTTTTTTTCTATTATTCTTCTTACCAACCATCTTTGCTCTGGTTTTTGTAAGCCATAGCGTCAGTTTTTTCACAATGTATTATTCGGCATTCTTGTTTGCCACAATCCCCTGTATGCTGAATGGAACCAGATGGCTGAAATTACTCATCCCTTTTACATTCCTAAGCCCCTTAGCATGTTATTACAATGCCGTATTCAATAATTATATTAACAAAGACCTCATCAGTATTTTTGCAGAATCGAATGCCGGCGAAATACGCGGTTATTTGGGTGATTATTATGTCTTAATCATCCTAGCATATATAACTACATGGCTTGCGATCCAGGCATTTTTCATCTTTTCTAAAGATACAAGTTTTAATTTCAAGCCAAAAAATCGCGCAGCTCTTATTTGCATTCACCTAGTTATTGTCTCAATGTTTGTTACACAGGATTATCTGAATAACCAACTTGATAACCAGTATAGTGATGCCATTGCAAAGCTTGATTTTGAAATTGAAAACGATCAAATCCCGCCCAACGACTTGCTTCGTATTTTTCCAATAAACGTTCTACACCAAAGTTACCTTTGGAGTAAGGAAAAACAAAAACTAAATCAACAGTTCCAGAAGAATCAAAATTACAAGTTCAATGCACAAAGCAACAATGATCCAAAGAAAAAAGAAATTGTTGTTTTAGTCATTGGTGAAACATCACTTAGCGATCATTGGCAGCTACAGGGTTATAACCGAGAAACAAACCCACAGTTATCGAAGTTAAAAAATTTGGTATATTTTAACAATGCAACATCGTCTACTAGTGCCACGATGTTTGCTGTACCTCAAATTATTACCCGCAAGCCCTCATCGCAGGCAACAAAAATTTTATTCAACGAACGTTCCATCCTTTCAGCGTTTAAAGAAGCCGGCTTTAAAACGTACTGGCTCTCCTCACAGCAACAGTTTGGGCGTACGGACACCAGTACCTCCATTTACATTAAAGAAGCGGATATTAAGCGTTTTCTTAACCCTGGAACCTATCGTAATAAAGGCCGTTATGATGATGTTCTAATCACGGCGTTAAATGAGGTGATTAATGACCCACAACCAGTTAAAAAATTTATTGTGATCCATACTTTGGGCAGTCACGCCGTGTATGAAGACCGCTACCCTATTGAATATGAGAAATTCAAGCCGACCCCGCGTATGGTGGATGGGTTTATACCTACTAGCCCTAAATTCAAAATCCCTACTGTTAACTCTTATGACAATACGATTCTGTACACCGATTTTGTAATTAGTCAGTTTATTGCCAAACTTGATCAACACTCCGATAGCTCCAATATGCTTATGTATCTATCAGATCACGGCGAACAGGTATTTTCTGGGAAATGTGGAAAGATTTTACATGGCAATAAAACCGAAAATGAATTTAAAATTCCATTAATCACATGGTATTCCGATAAGTACAAAAAGGAAAACGAACAAAAGATATCAGCTCTTTTTCAAAATAGGGAAAAGCCAATAGATCAAACTTCGGCATTCCCTACATTAATCGATCTAGCAAATATCGAAATTGATAATTACGAAACTGACAGAAGTTTAGCTAATCCTCTTCTACCGAAATACACCCGGTATATATACGATTATCTTGATTTCGACAAAAGTAAACGTGTAGGTGCCTGTAATGAATTAGACAAATAGTTTTTTTGGGTTAATTTGGCCTTAAATTAAACTTTATATTTACACCTGAAATATACTTAATTTGTCCCGCAGACATAGAGAAAGCTATGCCATACATGAAATTTAAAAAATCTACCCTTTTGCTTATTACATTAGGAGCTTTATACGGATGCCAACACCAGGCAACCACGATGAAGCCGAACCCCGCAGAGACATCGCAACTTAAAACACAAATTGCTGCAGAGTACATTCGTCAAGGGGATTTAGATTTAGCAAAGCGAGCACTTGATGAAGCTATAGATCGTGACTCAAGTAATGCTCTTGCAAAGATGATGATGGCAGTTACTTACCAAATTGATGGCGGGGCTAAAAACCAAAAGCTCGCTGATGAATATTATCAACGTGCTGTTAGTACCGACCCCAAGGAACCACAGATCCGGAACAATTATGGGCAGTTCCTTTTCACATTAGGCCGTTATGAAGAAGCCGCGCAGCAGTTCGAAATCGCAGGCGATACTATTGAATATACAAACCGTGGCTTTGCCTATGCGAACTTAGGTCAGTCTTATGTAAAGCTTAATCGAATGGATGATGCCAAAACTGCTTTCCTCCGTGCTTTACGCATAGACAAGAAAAACCCCTCTGCGACCCTTGGCTTGGCAGGACTATATTACAGCCAAGGTGCCTTTGACCAAGCTTTTGATATCTACCGCAACTATATGGAAATTGCTGATGCAAATACTGTGACTGAGACTGGGTTAATCGTTGGTATTCGTATTCTAAGTAAAACTGGCGATCACATTGAAATGAAGAATTTGGGTGGGCTACTCCTGCAGAAATACCCAAACTCTATAGAAGCATCGGAATACCGAGCAAAGTATAAACGTTGATATGATGCAAAAACCGCGCTTTTTGTGCGGTTTTTTTATCTAAACAGAATACTTCTATATTGTCTTAATATCGAATTTAAATGGATTCACTCATAAAAAACCTTATGGATTTTTGCCCAACACCAATCGATTTAATATCTTCCTGAATTTGGGCAAGACTTACATTTGTTTTTGATATGCACATTTCAGCATCACTGCAATAATCCGCAAGTGTATGATATTGATGGATAAGCTTTTGAGTGACTAATTGTGGGATGTATGAAGTATTTGATTGATGCTCCCCAGGATTAACCTGTTTATTTGATTCTTCTGTGCCACCATCTTCAAAGCTTATGTGCTCTCCCTTAACATTATAAAATCCAACTGACGCATCGAGAGCTGTTGAACTGTAATCCGTGGAGTAATTATCCGAATCTCCCTCAGTTTCTTCACTATTATTCACGATCATAGTGTAATCATATTTTTTATCGTTTGCCTTATTGGAAGTTATACCCAATAATTCAACATATTTTATATTTCTGTCCATAAAGCAAATTAAGCTTGAATCACATAGCTCTAAAACTTCATTTTTTTGAGTCTGATTTTGAAAGTTAGAATAATATTGCTTATCCCAACTATCCTCAGTATTGAAATAAATCAGCAAAAAAATAATAAATAAAATTCCAACTAAGGAACAAAAAAGAAAAAATTTGATAACATTTAAACTTACAGTGTCGTTACTCATAAAATTTTATCCTATAAACCATGTTTTTCAAACGCTATATTTTGTTTGAATATATTACTCTTAGCCAAACAACCATCTTTTTCTGACCACGATTATTTCAATACTGCTTCTAATTTATGTTCGTTATTAACCCAAAAATCTTGCAACGTGTTCATTGTGATTTTTTTGTTGGTTTTTAGCACATGACGGTCATTTTCAATATCAAACCAAGGAATTTTTTTAGCCCAGGCTAAAATAAGATTCGGATCACTTAAAAACAACGGAAGAGTATCCTTGTTTAAGTGCTCTGCCACTTCATCCGCCTCTCCACCTGTCATTTCCAAAGAGCGTTTACGCGCTACCACCTCTACAGGAATAAAGTAGGTGTAGCTATTCGGCATTGTGACAACAACCGCCTTCTTAAAGAGTTCATGCTCCACTACACAGTGTATTTCTTCGAGTACAACTGGGTTTTTTGCATCGCGGTCATATTCCTTTGACCACTGCTCTTTTGCGGCATCTGTGTTCTGGGCAGTAATAACCACCGAACGCTCAGCGAGATATAGTAAATTCCCTTCTTGATCTTTAATATCCTCATTCCAAAAAAATTTGTAGGCTTTCATGTATTACCCTATAAAAATAGCCAATAAGTTACCCTTATTGGCTTTTATTTTAGATATTAATTCGCTTTGATTGATGAGATCAGCTTTGAATCACCCAAGTTAGCCAAGGTGTTTTTAGCTGTCGGATCATTGATGATTGTTGGTGTAACAAAGATTAAGAGTTCTTCGCGTTTGATAATGCGGCTTTTGCTCTGGAATAAATGGCCTAGTACCGGGATATCACCTAACAACGGCACTTTTGATGCATCATTGTTTCGTGTCTCTTCAAATAAACCACCTAACACCACAGTCTCGCCATCATTAACTAAGACATTAGTTTTAAGTTTATTGGTGTCAATTGCATAACCCATATCTGTCAACGAACCTTGAGTATCCTTCGATACTTCGAGTTTCATTTGTACTGTACCATCAGGAGTAATACTTGGAGTAACTAGAAGCTCAAGTAAGGCCTCTTGGAAGACTGTAGTTGTACCATTGTCATTACTAGTACTTTGATATGGCAGTTTTACACCAGAACTGATGCGTGCTTCTTGTTTATCGCCAGTGAGAATTTTCGGTTTTGAAAGTACTTCACCAAGACCATCACTTTGTAAAGCAGACAACTCCAAGCCAAGAAGCGTTTTAGATGTATTAATTAGGCCTAATGCAATACCTGACGTGCCCATAGTTTGGCCTAAATCCAAGTTCACATTACTATCAATTGTCTCAGATTCACCGCCATACTTGTTATTATATTGAGTGGTCAAATTGTTCATGTCACTTGCCATCGTCAAGCCACTATTTTTGAGCAAGCCCCACTTCACACCAATTGCTTTCGAAAAGTTGGTTGAAGCACGAACGATACGAGCCTCAATCATCACTTGGCGCACAGGAACATCAATTTGCTCAACCAGAGACTTAATGACATTGATCTTTTCGTTAGTATCTGTGATCGCAATAGTGTTAGTACGCTCATCAATAGAAACGCTACCACGACTACTTAATAATGATGTTGTACTTTCATCGGCATTTGCCATACGGATTTGGTTCAATGCACCACCATCCATACCAGAACGTGTCGGACGCAACATGTCCGCTACATTTTTAGCATTAGCATAGTTCAACTGTACAACTTTAGTGACTAAAGGCGATAACGTCATTGATTGAGAATAAGCAGTCGCTTCCAATGCCTCATTTCTTGTAATTTCAGCAAGCGGTGCCACTAAAATCACATTACCGTCTCGACGTTGTGCCAGGCCTTTAGATTTGCTAATAATATTTAAGGCCTGCTCCCAAGGAACATCATTTAAACGTAAAGAGATAGTTCCCTCCACAGAATCCGATGCAACAATATTTTGACCCGTGTGCTCAGCCATGACTTGGATAATTCGGCGGATATCTGCATTTTGGAAGTCCATCGACAGTTTTTTGCCTGAATACTGATTGGCTTTATCTGTATTTCCTGCCGCCTTCGCTACTTTGCGACCTACATTAATGACAACCTGATTATCAAGTTGATAAACAACATAGTCGTATGAACCATTTACACTGAGTTCAAGGATACCATTGCCATTCTGATTGTAAGTTTTTGCTGATGAATACACCGCTTTTGTATCGTTGAAGAAACGATTGCGCACCAGATTGCTTGGGAACTGAGAGCCTTTAAATGTCACCAAGATCTTATCTTTGACTTGTTTCACATCTGCAGGCGTTTTCAAATTGCTTACACTAATAATGGCCTTTTCTTCACCACCTTTACTACGTGTGAAATTAATACCTGTCAGCGCAGTTGTTGGAGCAACAGTAATAGCCGTAGTTACAACACTTGGATAGATTTTAAGAATAAATGTATTACCAACGATTCGCGTTGTAAATTGACCATATTTAGCCAAATTGATCTTCAACGTAGGTGACTCGGTGTCAGTATTAAGTTGAATTGACTCAACTTCATTCGTTTTTACCAACACATGCTTTTCCGATACATTTGAGCTTAAATTGTCGAATGTCAGGATCAGTTGGTTATCTTCTTTTCTAGCCTTGGGTTGACGCACCAGGCCATTGGTAGTCACATGTATTTCAGTGGCATTATCACTTGTACGAACTGCCGCCACATCAATAATGCTATTACTTGAACCTGCATCAGCTAAAACAGGTTTTTTATCCGCATTGCTAGAAAAGAAAGGCTGTGTAGGCGCTTTTTCTTGTTTTGCTTGTGTTTGGGTTATAGGGGCTTCAACCGCTACTGGTGTTGTCTTTGCGTTTGATTTCGATTGAAAAAAAGGCTGAACACCTGCTGCTTGTGTACTACTTGCACTTAAGATACTAAGTGTTAATGCACTTAACACTAACGTTTTGGAATGACTAATCTTCATATATATTTCCTTAGCTAATTAGCGCGGCTGTGCCATAAATTGTTGATTATTTGCTACGTTACTATTCAAATTATTCGCATTCTGCTGAATAACTCCGCCGTATTGATCGACATTTTCAACAACACCTGGTTTTGCATTTAGATTCTGTGTGAAGTTGTAATACCCACCAACACCGTTAGGGCGCACTTCTATAATCTGAATGCCGTCTTTTGAAATTTTGGAAACGCGACCATTACTATTGCCAACGTAAGAACCTAAGTACACAGTGAAGATGCTTTTTTGTGGTGTCTCAATCAGGCCTAATGTTTTGCCATTTTTCTTAACAACACCAATAAAGTACAGCTCAGTGAGGTTGTAATCTTCGAGCACAGAGCGGATGCGATTTGGGTTGTTGACTGGTGCAGATACCTTGCTAGGCTTTTGTAGCAACGTGTGTAAAGATTCAGGCACAAACGGGTTTCGTGTTTGATCATGCATATAGAAGACGGGACTTGTATCCACTACTGCAGCATCCTTAACAGGCGTGGCCTTTACTGACGATTCAATTTCTTGAATCTTTAACTGAGTCTCTACAACAGGATCAGAACCGCAACCAACTAACTGTAATGCAATCAATGCACAAGTGATCTTACTAAAAGTCTTCATTAGTTAGCTCCCATAGTAGTTTCTGCATTCGCTTGTGCATTTTGTACAGTTGGTTCAACTGGCTCTAAATATCGATATGTATTGGCCTCTATCTTATAAGACACATGAGGAAGCATATGAGCTAACGTCCGCTTAGAGTCGTCTGTCTCAATTGTAAAATTGCCAATATTGACGATACGCGACAATCCAGAAATACTTTCTGCAAATCGACCGAATGAGCGGAAATCACCTGATGCATCTATTGAAATAGGCTGCTCAATTACAATTCCTGTGTTTTTTTCCTGTTGCAGACCGACCGTAACGATGCTGAATCCAGAAGCACGTGCCGAATGAGTCACATCTTGTACTAATTCTGGAATTTCCGCCTCTTTTGGCAGTTGCAGCAATTGCTGATTAAAATAAGTGTTCATTTCAGCAAATTTTTCTTGAAACGCTTGCACCCGCTTAAATTCTACTTGCTTCGACCGTAGAGCGTCTAAAGCTTGAGGGCGCTCTGACTCATACGTAGAGATTTGATCAAAGATCGGTTTTACTAGAAAGAAGCTACCTGCAGCGGTCACTAGAGCTGTAATACCCACCCACGATAAGATTTTCAGGCGTAAATCCCATTCACCACACTCTTTAAGGTCAAGTGTCTTTAATTGCTCAATTAGACTTTCACGCGGCACGGCAACAGCCTTTGGCTGTTTGATTTTTTCTTTAGAACCAAAAGCCTTCTTTTTGCCCTTTGACTCATCGGTACGTTTTTTCATTCCTAACATGGTTATTGTACCCCGTTAAACTGACCGACCATTTGCTGACGGTGTGGTGTGGTATCTGCAGTAGACTGGCTAACTTGTGGTGGTACTGCTTGTGGTTGACCAGGTTGAACAACAACTGGTTGAGCCGCTTGCGGTTGTGAACCTTGAGCTTGTGCCGGAGCGTTCACAGTTGTACTAGGTTGAACAACTGTTGGTTGCGGGGCTGCAGGCTGCGCGACTTGAGCATCTTGTATTTGATTTTGTGTAGTGGGTTCAATTCCTGTGTCAACATGAATATTAATTTTCATCGTTAAACTAAAGGTTGAATAATCATCCTCTGGAATGGAGCCACGCTCAGTATCCTGTTGTGAAGACATTTGTGCAGGATCATCATCAGGGGTAACAAAGCTACTCATGAAGATATTCTCAAATATCAATGAGTTTTTAAGGTTTCTCATCAACAAAATGACTTCATCTGTATTTTGTGCTCGACCTATAACTGTTAACACCTCACCTTCACGCTGAACCTTTGTTAAGACCACAGACATTGGTGTAGATGCTGAAATTGCATTTGCTATGCGAACGGTTTCAGTACGGTTTGTTTGCAGGCTTTCGATCAAATCAATCTTTTGCTGCATCGTGCGGTTTTTTTCTTGAATATCTTTCTGTTTTTCAAGCTCAGCATCGATTGCTGCAGTCTTTTGTACAATTAAGTCATTAGCGGCAATTTGTTTATCGGCTAAAGCATTCCCGTATTGCATAAACCCATAAACTAAGGCACCACCCAAAAGTGCTGCAACTACAGCCTTGATTTGGTAATCCTTTTTATTGGCTTCTAACAACTCAACACGCCAAGGGAGGACGTTTGGTAAGTCAGGGTTTAACCCGGCCAACGCCACGGCAACCAACATAAAAAGTTCTTTTTCTCTTTGAACAAAGATGTCTTTTTCTTTAGCGTTTGAAAAAGTCAAAATTTGCTTATCAAGATAACTAAGCTCTTGTACTTTTGCTCTAAATTCGGTTTTAGCTTCTCGAATTAATTCAGGGAAACTTGCGATTTCACCACCAAAATAGATATCGGTGACTTCGCTCGCTGATACACCAGTTTGATACAACTGAATTTCACGACTAATTTCATCACATACCTTCGTAATGAATTGTGGAAGCATTTGTTCTTCGTATTTTTCTCGTACCCCTTCGTTATATTGAATATCGTCAAGAGTATTAATGGCTTCATTCGGGAAGTAGGAACGTACATCATTTATGAGACGATTTGAACCAATATCGAAACTTCGCTGAACAATAACCCGTGTTCCTTTCAAGATGAACAATGTTGATTGAGCAGCATCAAAGTTGAAAATAGCAAATGCCTCAGTATTACCTGCCCCAATACCAAATACACGGACAAATTCTTCAATTGATGCGGCAACGGTTGTTACAACTTTAGGGGCTAACCCCATATTTTCTAAATACTGGCTTCGATCATTTAAGAACTCACTCTTAGCCACATATATGGCAATTTCGTCCTTATCTGATTTTTTATTACCAGTTTTACGAAAATCAAATGAAGCTTCTTTTAGGGAGATGGCTGAATAGCGGCTAAAGTTATTGCTGATTTGCTTTTCCAGTTCTTTATCTGGAATTTCTGGGGAAAAGAAATCAGTTTTTGTAGTTACCTGACTTGGTGCAAGAGCATAAACTGCTTTTTTACCTTTGAGCTGATGTACATTTGCAATCGTTTCAAGCGCACTATTAAATGCATCTTTATTTAAAATTCGACCATTAGAGACGACATTCTCTTCCAATCTGGATACACCCAATCCTGAAACTTTAAATTTTGTTCCTTGTTTTGCTAAATTCAGCACCATCAAGGTGGCTGCAGTAATGTCTACTGCCACAATCCCTTGGTTCTTATTTCGATTGATCAAAGCCATGCCCCATTAATATTCGGTATTAATTTTTGGCGATATTATCAGTTCTGTAAAAAAAAGCGTTTTTAAAGCATAAAACGGTCAAAAAAAACCACTACTTATTATTTTTCTACTTTTAGGGCTTAAAAAAAACAACAAAATTTATATTTTGCTATCCTACGGAAAAATTGGTGCTACGAATCACTAGAGGTCAAATGAATAAAACAGCCACATGCATCCTTGTATCGTGTTTATCATTTTTAAGTGCTGCTAATGCTAAAACGATGTACACCTATACAAGTTCAACTGGTGATATTTTGCTTACTGATAAAAAGCAAGATAGCAAAGCCTTTCGTACAGTAAATATAACGAAGTTCCCAGACTCAAATATACACACCTATTCTAACTGGGGAAATTCAATAGCATCTGCAGCAAAAGGATTTGAGAAAAATAAAAGCATATATGATGCGCATATCGTTCGCGCAGCTTCTAAATTTAATATCGACCCAGGATTGATTAAAGCCGTAATGCATACCGAGTCAGGTTTTAATATTAATGCTCGTTCCCCAGTCGGTGCACAAGGTCTAATGCAATTAATGCCCGCGACTGCACGGCGTTTTAATGTGAGTAATGCTTACGACCCCACACAAAATATTGACGGAGGTGCGCGATATCTTAGTTGGCTACTTAAACGCTTCAATGGTGATGTCCGCTTAGCACTTGCCGGATACAATGCAGGTGAAGGTAACGTTGATAAATACAAAGGCATACCTCCATTTCGTGAAACACAAGATTATGTGCGCCGTGTTACACAACGATATAACACCCTATATAGAAACCTAAGCGCAGGGCAAAACATTCAAGCTGTAGAGGCTTCGTTCAGCAAAGCCAACAGCCCCACTACACTAACAATTGGCAATTTAAATCATGTCGGTAATTCTATCGTGCAAACGTCTGAGTCAAGTTACTCCGATGTGCTTTATTAATTGGGGGAATATATGAGCGAAAAAATATTTAACTTTGCTTTCAAAGGTACAAACAGCAAAGGAAAAAAAATTAGTGGTGTGGTTGTAGAGCGAAATGAAGGTGCTGCCCGTACCTTTTTATTAAATCAAAACATCAACATTAAAAGTATTCGGAAGCAAAATGATTTTGCAATTTTGAGCGGACGAATTAAGTCAATCGATATTGCTGTCCTCTTTCGACAACTTGCCGTTATGATGCGTGCCGGTATCCCATTAATACAATCGCTGCAGCTAATTAATGGCAGTATTAATAAAATTGGGATGAAGCGCATTGTAACCCAAGTAAAAGCAGACATTGAATCTGGACTTAGTTTTGATGAAGCCCTATCAAGACATCCCCACGTGTTTGACCACTTAACATGCTCTTTAGTTCGTGCGGGCGAAAGCTCTGGTACGTTGGATGGTATGTTGTTGCGTATTGCAGACTATAAAGAAAAAAGCGAACTGACCAAGGCCAAAGTTAAAAAAGCACTCAAATACCCACTTACAGTTCTATTGGTTGCTTTAGTTGTGACCGTTATTTTATTGCTTAAGGTAATTCCAGTATTCAAAGATCTATTTGAGTCCTTCGGTAGTGAATTACCCGCTTATACACAAATGGTTGTGAGCCTATCCGACTTCATTAAAGAAGACGGCATCTTCCTCCTAATTGGAATCATTGCAATTATTTTTGGTCTTAAAAATTTCTACAATCGCAGTCCAAAATTTCGCAATTCCCTTGCTGAATATTCATTACGCATACCCGTATTTGGCTCACTGATCTACATGGCTATCATTGCACGTTTTAGCCGCACACTGGCAACAACATTTGCTGCAGGTGTACCTCTTTCTGAATCTCTCATTAATGCCGGCCAAGCGACTGCCAACGTTGTATATGAAGAAGCTGTTGAAGAAATTCGCAGCGATGTTGTAAATGGTCAGTCTCTATTTTTTGCTATGCGCAACAGCGCAAGATTCCCAGACATGGCAATTCAAATGACATCAATTGGTGAGGAGTCCGGTAAATTGGATGAGATGCTTGATAAAGTTGCATCACACTATGAAAGTGAAGTGGATAACGCCGTAGACGGTATTACAGCAATGCTAGAACCATTAATCATGGCTGTATTGGGTGTCTTGGTGGGTGGACTTGTTATCGCGATGTATCTGCCTATCTTCCAAATGGGTGCCGTGGCTTAATTTCCACAATAAAAAAGACAGCATTAAAGCTGTCTTTTTATTTCTAATTTAAGAATTATTGTGTTTTTTCTTTTGACAGATATTTAAACAATAAGAATGGGAAACCCAAAGCAGCAAGAAGAACTATAGAGTAAAGGCCTTCCATCCATTTAGCGAAAATAGCTTGAAGGTCTAAGTCAACAAGGTTTTTAACTGCTTCTGAAATGTTGGTGTCAGTTCCAATTTACTAAGCGACAGTTTTATAAAATATCAATAAGATACATTCAATATTCTAAAGAACTGTGCGACAAATTTACTAATCAATCTTGCGACAAGCCCAACAATTTACATTCAACTATGCGACATAATTTATGAACAGGATTTGCCAGTTTCGGGATTATATTGAGGGTATTTACCCAAAAAAATCGTAAAGCTGTTTGTTTCCTCCCATTCATTAATACCGCTATATTCACATCTTTGCCATTTATGCAGTTGGAATGGGTAGTCCTTTGGTTTAGAGCCTTTTCTGACGATAAATACATAACAATTTTCAACAGTCTTTTGTTGTTCAGCAACTTCAAAAGCTTTATCTAAGCTCTCTACAGGCAGAAAAATATCAATGTCATTAGCATTGTTTGACTTGGCTTGTACTTCAAATTCCATAATTAATTTCCTTAATCGCAAAGTAGTTTGGAATGTCGCATAGTTATTTAGAACTCACACTAAGGAATAATCCCCGTTAGACCTCTGAGCAACTTGCAATCCAAGTGTATACTTATTTTGATTACTTTTACTTCCTGAGACTGCGTAATCGCTATTGTCTTTGATTGAAAAGGCAACGTAGCTCTTATTCAAACATTTTGAGTGATATTCAGAGATACAATGTTTGAGTTTTACCCCTTCTGCCGACAACCTACTTCGATCAGTAATGGCTTTAAATACACAATTATCTATCGTGATTTCAATGTCATCATTATCAAAATTATGAGAAGAAAATTCAGTCAATATGAAAGGTGGGAAGTTCATAATTCTAGCTTCTTTCATTTAAAATAATATGACTCCAATATACCTAAAAAAACCACCCAATTTAAGCCATAAAACAAGATTGTTCTTAAACAATATTGATCGCTGCATTCAAGCGAGTTGGTTAATCATCATGCAATATATTTAAAAGCACCCCTCACAGGTGTTTTTTCAAACTGTAATATTCTATACTCCACAACAAAGCTTCTTTAATTAATCCATTATGGTGTGACAATGATTAATGCAAACAAACAAAAATTAAAGGCTGAGTTAACCCACAAGATTATTAACATCAACCTGCAAGCATTTTTAAATCCTGATGAGAAAAACCCACCACATCATGATGCTCAAGTGACCATTTACCGAATTAAGCATGATTCCCTCAAAAAGAAGGTTTATGTTGGTGGGTGTAGTAAAAATTTCCCCGCAGATATGTATGATGATAGTTTGTCTTTAGATTTCACCGCCACCCAAATAGATGAATACTTAAAAGAACATCAGCTTATTCTTAATATTCCTAATCAGTCTAAACTCTTTTTATTCTCTTTAAAAAACTCAGATTCATTGGCTTTACCTGAGAGCTTGGGTTTTGAGCTTGCAGAGAAACTGGCGCGGCATGTTTTTTATAATTATGAAAACATAAGCCCTAGTGATTATGCAGATTTCCACAACTATTGATTTTTAAAAAGTTTAACTAAGCCAATTCAAGCAGACTTGATTGTTAGGGTTGGCTAAATTGGTTCGGGTATTGTTTTTTAGATTCTGCAATCAGAAAAATTTCGGCTATTTGCGCTTTTTCCCTTTTCGAACTTTCGTTGTTTTTTCAAAAAAACAGATATCTGTAAAGCCTAGCATCAAATGATATTTTTTTACTGGGTGCTCCACAATAATCGGAAAGACAGAATGCTCCCCTGAAAAAATAACAATTGGGTTTCCCCCTTCACTTCTGGCGTTATTGTTACCTCAAATTTAATATGGTCATACTTATCTGCTGTGTGTGGTAATGACTTACCGGCAATAATTTCAAAAAACCGTTTCATAAATTGATTATTATGCATAGTCATTGCAACTTCTTAATCGAATTAAAAATCTTTTATCATTATTTTGCCTTAAATACCATTTAGGAAAAGTTTTTAGATTAAAATTTGGAAATTATTCAATTCAATTAGGCCTTATATGTTTGAGACGATTCAATTTATACAAGAAAACCCAAATGTCTTTTACATTTTAGTGGGGATGTTTTCACTATTGGTTGGAAGTTTCCTGAATGTGGTGATCCATCGGCTCCCTATTATCTTAAACAACGAATGGCGACAGCAGTGTCATGATTTTTTAAAAATTGAAGTATCGCAAGCCTCTGAAAAAATCACTCTTAATTCACCGGCATCTCATTGCCCTACATGCCACTCGAAAATCAAGTGGTATCAAAATATCCCTGTTTTTAGTTGGGCTATGTTAAGAGGAAAATGTGGCAATTGCAGACATCCCATCAGCATACGCTATCCGCTCATTGAAGTTTTAACATGCTTAGGATCTGTTGGTATTGCCCTAGCCTTTGGATCGTCCATTCAGGCTTTAAGCTTAATTGTATTGTACTGGAGTTGTATCGTTTTGTTCTTTATTGACAACGACCATCAAATTCTACCAGATCGGATCGTCTTCCCATTACTAGGCCTGGGGCTATTCTTAGGGACTCAGAATGTATTTATCAGCGCTGAACAATCTATTTACGGCGCAATAATTGGTTTCCTGTGTTTATGGATTGTATGTGCACTATTTAAGCTGTTTACAGGCAAGGAAGGCATGGGTCAAGGTGACTTTAAATTGTTAGCTGTATTCGGTGCTTGGGGTGGAGCGTTACTACTCCCATATATTATTTTGATGTCATCAATTATTGGATGCATTATTGGAGCGGCACTTTACATTAAGCACAAAGAAAGTCGTCCATTTGCATTTGGCACCGCAATAAGCGTTTCAGGAATTATTATCTTGATATACAACTATATCTAAATATCTAATTAGCGAAAAAATAAAAAGCCTGTAAACAATTACAGGCTTTTTTTACTTTACAGAGGGTTTAATATGAATAGTGAATCACTAATCCAAGATAAAATTTTCGCTTGCATATCGCGAATTGTTAATATATCGAATAAGTTTCAATTAAACAATACAATTACCACTCATTTTTTAATTATCTTTTTAGTTTTTATTTGCATTATCTAACCACCCCACTTCTTTTGCAGTTTGTTGCAAAATAATAACACTATCCAAATTTTCTGGAACCAAAAAATCTCGTTCATTCATTGGAATATACCCACCCATAATTTCGGCTCTTTTTTGCGGATATAGTGGGATTTGTTTTGGATCAGCATAGCCTTCTGGGAATATAGGGCTACCATAATACGGGTCGTATCGGTCTTGAGCGCCGAATAAATGCAAAGATTCATGTGCAATAATCATATTGGTTTGTCGATCATCTTCGGGGTTCGCATGAACATTGACTAAGGCAACACGTCCGCGCTGCAGCGCCGTGGATCGATTTAACGTTGCACGGTCATCATGTGCATAGTTTAGATAAATAACACCATCAACGCCGATATCCTCTTTTTTAAGATTTAACATGGCATAGAGTCGGAATTGTAAAGTCCACTTCAACACACCAAGGATAGTGGATGCCTGTTCTTCGGTAACATCATGCGGTGCATTACTTATAGGGCTTGCCAAAACATAATTTATAGATACGCGCCTACCATAATATTTAGTCGCATAGTCGCTCATATATTTCGAGATTTCATCAAACTGTGACTGTTTTAACCCATTTATGTAAGTCTTCACCTTCTCGCTGTTAGAGGGGTTAACTGGGTGCAGAACAATATAAATGGGTTTATCCCACTTTGGATTCAGATCTAAATAAGTATTGGCACCAAAAAAACTAAAAATAAAAATCAGAATAGAAATCCGCAATTTTTTAAAAATCAATCGCAATGCTTCTGTTTTCTTCCAAAAGGACTTTATAGCTGTCATTCGAATACACTGGGACATTAAAAGTTAAGCTGATTTTACTAACAATTGTAATTTCTATTCCAAATATCATTAAAATAACATCATAAAATTAACGTAAAAGAATCAGGAAGTCAGTATGGAATTTAGAATTGCTAGAGACTATCTAAATGAAGCTTTAAGTTGTCTATCTACTGCAATTGAACGCAAGCATCAAATGAATATTTTAAGCAATGTTAAAGTGGAAATTAATAAAGAAAAAATGACTCTAACAGGTTCAGACTTAGAAATTCAGACCATCGTACAATGTAATCTAACTAATGAATGTATTGTGCCTGGTATTACAACTATTCCATTCCGTAAGCTTTTAGAAATTTGCAAATCCCTGCCGCCTGGTTCTTTGCTAGATATCACCGTTGAAAACAACAGATGTATTTTAACATCAGGCCAGAGTCGGTTCTCTATATCAACGCTTGATGCAACTGACTACCCACTCATGAATAAGTCATCAGCCACACCAATAATTGTGCGCACAAACCAAGGAGATTTGAAACGCAATATTGATAATGTGATGTTCTCTATGGCTGTAGATGACGTGCGATATTATCTAACTGGGGCTTTATTTGATATTAAAGAAAATAGCATAAAGATTGTGACCACAGATGGTCATCGCTTATCTTGCTCGGAGTTTGAATCCAAGTGTGATGACTTCTCCCAAATCAACAGCGAAAAACACATCATTCTTCCACGCAAAGCGGTACATGATTTAAGTAAGCAACTTGATTCTGAGGATAAGCCCATTGAACTACGTATGCATACAGACTTAATGGCCTACAACATCATCATAAATACACCTTCCGGCAACACCCTTCACATAGACAACACAATCTTACTGCTTGATGCTAAATACCCTAATTACAATCGAGTCATACCGAAAGACAGCAACAAGATCGCCGTGATTGATACGGGTTTATTTAAAGATGCAATGCAGCGTGTCGCAATTTTAAGTAATGAAAAATTAAGAATCATTAAACTTACATTTTCTACAAACCTTCTTCGAATTGATACCAATAACAGCGACAAAGAAGAAGCCTTTGAAGAAATTCCGATTAAATACGCAAGCGATGAAGTTTGTATCGGTTTCAATGCACAGTATTTAATTGAAATCATGTCTACACTTAACAATCAATTTGTAGAGATGTACATGAGTGGTGATACAAGTTCAACACTGGTCAAGGCTATCCAAAATGAACACACTTTATATGTCGTAATGCCAGTCAGAGTTTGAATTTTAAGGCTCTACGGGTTATCCAAGGGGTTTAAGTGCTAAAAGAAATCTTATGCTCTAAAGAAATATTTTAATTTAAAAAAAGGTAATGTTATGACAAACCAAAACACAACATCTAATTCAGAAAATGACGATGAATTTTTTAACTCAGAAGAATTTATGCCCGTAGATTTTGTAGAGAGAGATAATATTTGTGAAATATTAGCAAGCGGCGAGACCTATACATTAAATACAGTGGTTGATTGGGTCAAAGAAAACATTGAACGTCTTAATAAAATTTTAGCTTTGGACTCAGCATCTTCAAGTGATGTAATTAAAGCTTATGTATGGGCATATCGTCATGATAACGGGAACACCAAATATATTTCATTAGACCTGCATAATGAAGAACAGAAAAAAAGCTATTCATTTAACTTTTATATTGGTGGAGTGCACTCATTTCATCTGGTAGAACCAACTGTACCTGACTGTGTAGAAGCTCTCCACATGATTGGGCTAATTACTACAGCACTAAAAGTTAATGCTGTTATGGGTTCACATGAGAATGAAATAAATGGATATTGCACATCAAATTTAAATTTGATGAAAGTTAAACAAGAAGCAATTTGAATTTTCTAATAATAATTACAGTACCAATTACTCATAAAGATTCATACTAGAGCGATCTAGTATGAATCACATGTAACAAAAAGAGCATTTAGTTTCATTCATTAAGAATGGCAGTTTAAAACTTATGGCCTTTGGGCTTTGATAACTTGGTTGCAGAAAATTACAACAAAAATAAGGCCGATAAACGAAGCGAAATATAAAATAAACTTATTATCAGGCAAAATACTCTTAGTTTTTGCATCATTCATTTCTTGAATTTTTCTTTTATCATCAGCTTGAATTTTCGAAATATATTGCTGATCAGAACCCGTTAACTTCGATGTTTTATATCCCTTATAAATATTTTCTAGCTCAAAGAACTCATTATTTGTAATCTTGCCATCCTGCATGGCTTGATTGACCTTGGAGTTAAATAGAGACTGAAGTGAGGTGTTTCTTACATCTTCAATCATTGTATTAAGCTCATCATTTCGGGGGGCGCTAATTGACAGTACAGGGTGAGCTAAAATCATCACTCCAATTAATAACGTGACAGAAAACAAAATCAACCCAAGCATAAATGTTAAAAAGTTACCTTTTTGATTTTTGGGACTATTCATGATGCAAACCTTCAACATGGGACGTGTGATGGATGATTAATAAAATTGGAAAGAAATTTAAAAATTAAGTTCCGTGCCAACTCCACCAATATATTATACAATATACGGATTGTCTAATTAACTTTTAAGTAAAGCTGCAATTCCTACCAATTGCAGAAAGCACAAATCACTATTCCATTTAGTTGAATTTTTACAATTGATTACTTTTAATAAAAAAATAGCTAATTTAATTAGCTATTTTTTTAAGATCATTTTTAAATTTTAAAAAATCGAAAATCACTTTTAATTTTTGATTAGCTTTCTACATATTTCACTTTAATTGAAGGTGTCATCATTCTTGCAAATATTTCGATTATAGTGATACTCATTGGAGATACACCTTCACCACTGATTTCGGCTAAACCTTGGTCTTTTAAAATATGGATTTTCCTTTCATAACTTTGATAAAGTTCTGGCTCGCTATAAGAGATAACAGTAGATCTGATATCATCATCAATACAGACTTCATAAAGAGCAACGATAGGATTATCGGTACTCAATTTCTTTGTATCACGGGTAATAACAAAATCATAACCCGATGACAAACTGAGTAAGATGTAAGCCAACATAAATAAATGTGACCGAGAAAATTCAACAATATCGTCTGGTACGGCGCTTAATAATGCTGCAGTGGGATAGAATTTAAACTTATACCCCGCTCCCGAAAGCGTCATATTTTCAGACTCGATATATATCTTTATTAATCGACCACATTCTGTCAGTTGAATAATTACAGCATTCTTTTTTTTGTGTGGACGACTAATTCTGAAAGCAAATGCTGCACCTGCTATCATAATTTCTTCAACGTCAACACGCTTTCGCTGAACAAGACGGTCAGCCTTCAAACCTTGTACAAGCGCATCAATTACCAATGCATTGTCAGAGAATATTAAAGACAAGCTTTTATTTGTAGGGGGGCTAATTCTAAACATTTATTATCCATTGGTTTCGTTTTAAATCTTACTCACGCTGCAAGTCCATTAATTATTAGTTGTAACGCGCATTACTTCTAAAATACTGGTTAAACCAAGCTGAACCTTTTCAAGCCCAGATTGTCGCAAGTTATTAAAACCTAGTTTTTGAGAGACCTCATTTATTTGAGTTGCATTCCCATCCTCAACAATTATTTTTGCTATTTCAGGCGTGATCTTTACCACTTCATATATTCCTACGCGCCCTTTATAGCCTGAATCACATAAGTCACACCCTGTTGTTTTGGCCTTGTATATAGTAAATCCAGTCTCAATCTGCGCATCTGTAAAACCAAGTTCCTGCAAAACATGCTCAGAAATATTCTCATCAATTACTTTACATTTCTGGCATAACTTACGAACAAGACGTTGGGCAATAACAAGGTTTACCGAGGTTGCTAAGTTGTAGCTTGGGATACCCATATTGCGTAAGCGAGATAAGGTTTCCGCCGCACTATTCGTATGTAGCGTGGACATCACCATATGGCCTGTTTGTGCTGCTTTCACAGCAATTTCCGCTGTCTCTAAGTCACGTATTTCACCCACCATGATTACATCGGGATCTTGTCGCAAAAAAGCACGTAAAGCAGTTGCAAATGTCAATCCAGTTTTAATGTTCACACTTACTTGGTTAATGCCATCTAAATTGATTTCAATTGGATCTTCTGCAGTTGAAATATTCACCCCAATTTTATTAAGGTGGTTTAGGCCAGTGTAAAGAGAAACTGTCTTACCCGAACCAGTTGACCCAGTAATTAAAATCATTCCTTGAGGTTGAGCCAAGGCATCCAAGTACATGTCTTTTTGAAGTGCGCTAAAACCAAGCATCTCAATACCCAGTTTAGCTAAGCTCCCATCCAAAATACGCAATACAATTTTTTCACCATGCGCCGTGGGTAAAGTATTCATACGAAAATCAATATATTTGGTATCTGTCACAGCCAAGCGTATGCGACCGTCTTGTGGCAATCGTTTTTCAGAAATGTCTAAACCCGCCCATACCTTTAATCTTGATGTGATGCGTGGAGCAATTTCGGGAGGAAGACTAGAAACTTCCTGCAATACACCATCCACACGAAAACGGATTCGATAATGTTTTTCAAATGGTTCAAAATGCAAATCTGATGCTTTTTCTCGCACGGCATCACGCAGAGTTTTATTTAAAAAATTAATTAATGGTGTGTTGTTTTCAGGATCATCTACCTCCTGTTTTTGTTGTCTATTCTCTAATACAGTTCCATCATCGACCATTTTTTTAATTAGGTCTTCTTTTGTTATCCCATTAATTTCATAAGTGGAAAAGTTTAGCCCAATGAAGTCCATTAGCTTGGCGTGATCTGAAATAACAATCTCAGTCTTCAATCCAGTATAGCTGCCGACCGCCTCAACTTCTTGAACGTTTTGCGGGTTGCTAATCGCACAAACAATTGTATCATTCCCCTTTACGTATAACGGCAGCACGCCCGTTTGCGCCACACTACGCTCATCAATAATTGAACGTGGTATGGTTTGCGGATCGTAGGTATCCCAGTTAAATAAAGGGTATTTAAATGTATGAGCAAGAATTTTTGCAATTTCAGAAGTTGGAACGATCTCCGTTTTTAACAAGTAAGCACAGAAGTCCATTTCTTCTTCTTGGCATTTTTCTGAGATACTTGCCGCTTGTTCTTCTGTTAATAATTCTTGCTTAATAAATTCGGTAAAAAAGGAGTTATATCTTCTTTGCGCGACCAGGGACATGCGGAGCTTCCAAATTCGGGACTGAATATTTTAGTCAATAATAGCAACATCAATAAAACTATTTGCAAATAAAGCCATTAATTGCTCAAATTTATCACTTAATGGCCTTATTTCGCTCAAATGTAAATCGTTTAAGTACTGGACTATTCGGAATTGAGTGAATCATGATTCTTGTTGCTCGCCCAACAATTAAGTCTTCCCCTACCAAGCCCCATTCACGACTATCACTACTATCGTTGCGATTATCGCCCATAAAGAAATAATACCCTTCGGGAATAGTAATAGATAAATCATGCTTTCTTCGAGTTTCATCATCGATAAGAACACCATCTTTTTTATTTGTATTTTGTCTAATTAATAAAAAGGATGAATTATTATTGAAGTATTCGGAATCTTTTTTCATCCCCCTGCGGATTAAATAAGTATTTCCATTTATTGTTTCATATGTATATCGATGGTTAAGATCATATGGTATGTCATTTCCGCGAGCATCTGAACGATGTACCTTAACCCCATTTATATATAAATCATCTTCTACGAATCTTAACGTATCACCACCTTTCCCTATAAGTCGCTTAATAAAAAAGGTATTCGTATCTAATGGATATTGAAAAACATATACTTTTCCGCGTTCTAATTCATGCAGTTTAATTAAATTTTGATTTGTGAAAGGAAATTTCAACGCATAACTAGTTTTATTAACTAAAAGGTAATCACCTTGTGTTAATTGGGGATACATTGATTCTGATGGAATTGAGAAAGGTTGAATTACGTATGTCCGAATAACCATAATTACTATAAGGACTGGTAAAGCTTCATAGAATATCTGCAGGAACCAAGGACGGTATTCATTTTTAGAGTAGAGCCTACCATTCAAATAGACTCTATCAAACAAGACAACAGCACAACAAAGACACATTAAGAATAAAAATAAATACCCTATCAGAATTGTTGTGATGCCATTAAACATAGATTGCCAGAATATTAAATACTTTGATCTCGCATTTTAGCAATAATTAAGTTTGTTTTGTTGACCGTTGTGACTTGAATTTCATTTAATGATTCAAGTTTCAATTCCAATTTAGAGAAAAGAGTATTAATTTGCAATTCCGTTTTTGGTTGATTTGAGGAAATATTGAGTTTAACAAAATTAATGATATTACCTTGATCTTTTTCATTTGTAATATTCACAACATTGCCAATTTCATTATATTTCCTCTTTAAAGTCACAAGATCCCTATGCAAAGTAACGAGTCGTGTTTCAAGCTCCTTATTGCTTCGGCGCATAAAGCCAAAATAATCATTGCAATTACGGGCATTGTACTGATCTACAACCTTTTCACTATGATCTACCTGCAATCTTAGCGTATTAAGATCAGTTTGATATATTTCGGCTAAACGAAGCAACCGGTGTAATTGCGATTGCAACGTATAAAGGCTATCAATACCATTAAGAGGGATGTTATTTGGAACACTCATAATCTATCCTAGAAAATAAAGATTTTGATCACTCCTTGGGTAGAGCGAATACACCTCCAAGGCGCTTTATTTCGTAGTAATAACTATCAGGGTAAAAACTAGCAGCATTACTGAAATCTACTCCCGTGACTACGAATTTATAAGCTAAAGAACGCCCCTGAGCATCAACCTGATCCGGGTCTGTGGAGTCAAACTTTAAATTAAATATATCACTTTTCTTGGAAGGAACTATGATGTATTTGTTTATGTCGTATTCTGTTAGGTACTGGCCTGTGTTTGAATCAACCAGGTAGGCCTTTCCGTATATTTTATTTATATTGAATCCACTATTATTGGTAATGGTAAAAGGGACAAATTCACCTATTTTTTCTGATGCACTAACCGAAATTATCTGATTTGTTTTTTCAGTGTAGTATTTACGCATAAATGCATCGTAATCGTCTAACGTACGTAGACCTACTGTGTTAACTGTACTTTTTTTAAGAATATCACTAATTTTAACTTTACCATCTGGCACTCCTTTTGGATCAAGTTTATTTTCAATATTAGCTGCATGCCAAAAAGCATAGACCTTCCCCTGCTCGCTCATGGGAAGCAAATCAATAACATGTTTTGCAGCTAAAAATTCGTGGTTATAGGCCATTTTATAAATGCTATAAGAGAGCTGATATTTTCCGACAGCCACACTCAAATCTTGCGGAACAACTGAAATATTTTTCACATACCCACCCGAATTTAAGGATGCATGTTCAAGAATAATCTCAGCATTAGCCGCTGTAGACGCAATAGCCATGATTGCTAAAATTACTTTTTTCATCAGTTAAATTCCCAAAATTTGCTTAACAGTTTGTTCAGTTGGATATGTAGAGTTGCTTTCGAACCAATTCATTAATATGTTTACATCACGACTGTTCAAACGTTGATTGTAGTAGCGAATAATTGCATCAACATCTGATTGTGATTGGATTGTTTGGTTCAAGAAATCAAAGTACTGCTCTTCTTTTATGGCTTCATCTACAGTTATGTTTTTTACTGATGGCATGCCCTGGTTAAATGCCAACATGCGTTGACAATACAGGCCATATAAAGTTCCCGCACTCTTATCCTGGTATAGATAGGATGAAAGAGCATCTTTAGTCGCCATCAACTCAATAGGTGCTTTAAAGCCATTTGCAATACGTTTGTATGTAACCTTAATATTACGCAAATCTGACGGCATATATCTTCGCTCGAAGACCGGGTAATTAAACCGCTTGTCACCTGCAGAAGCGTTTATCTGTACATAGTAGACATCTGGGTCAATGTTGCGTTTAGTTATTGGTAAGATTTGACTGTTATTAGATTGAACTGAGTCAAAATCATTAAATATTGTGCTTAAAGATGTTTCTGGCTTAGCAAATGCCGAATGACTCATTGCCATTAACAAAATACTCAGCGCAAATGGTTTTTTGTTCTTTTCAATAGCCATTGTTTGCTCGAACTATAAATAACTACAAGGATATTAGCACAAGCATATTTTGCACATGCAAATGTACGTCCATTTAGCCTATATTTAGAAAACCTATTTTTCACTATGCTATATTTAACTCATCTAACAACACTGAAACGTACAAACATGTTTAGTATCATAGACAAAGGCAATGAACTTGTAATCAAAAACCCACAGTTCGGTATTGATTCCTCTCTACCTTATCAAGTTGTTTCTTCGCCCAAAATTGTATTAGCCCTAGGCGAAAACTCCGTATACGATAACTTCACAACAAAATACACAAACAAAAAATCCTTATCATTTTTTGGTAATTTATTACTTTCATCTATCAAAGACAAAAATGGTGACGTAGATGTCGAAATTTATCACTTGGCAGGCAATAATGCTTATTTGATTAGTTACGATAATGGCGAATACGTCACTGTTAGTCGTTCTTTTAAGTTAAGCCTCGATTATGCTGCTTCGCTAGGATTTGACCTCATCAAAGTCATAAAAGAAGATAAAAGCACCACCCATACTTTCGATGGTTCATTAATTATTAATAATGACTTCACAAACAAAAGTATAGATCCTGCTGAAATTAATTCCGAAGACTATATGTTGCTGAACTTGGACTTACACAATTCAGATAAAGAAGTCGTTATCAATCTAATTATCACGGCGCGAGAATATTCAAAAGACACCACTAGTATGTTTTACAGTGAATATACTGGCTTTGCACCAAATATTGGCAATTTCAAACAAGTGGCCGTTAAGCCAAACTTAGATCGGTATCCTGACGATTTTCCCCAAGCAGAGCTTGACCGTCTGGTGGTATTCACAGATTTAATTAATGATAATGCGCAAACAGTCCTTTGCCCTCATATCATGCAGCTAGAAGATTACAATGGCTTAATTAGCCATGCTCAACGTAATGAACTAATCAACTTTTCATATACCGGACTTCACAATAATGGCTGTACGGTTCAAGTTGATATGGAACTACTATCAGAAGATGAAAATACACCATCATATAAAGCACGTGTTGTTCGTTTGGTACTAATGCCACAAATGCACCCTATTATGAATGTATAACTTTTCATTTCATTAATAAAAAAAGCCACTTCAAAGTGGCTTTTTTATAATGAAAATGCTTTCAACTGTCAGTTCCAATTTACTAAGCGACAGTTTTATAAAATATCAATAACATACATTCAATATTACAAAGAACTGTGCGACAAATTTACTAATCAATGTTGCGACAAGCCCAACAATTTACATTCAACTATGCGACAAAATTTATAAACAGGATTTACCAGTTTCGGGATCATATTGAGGGTATTTACCCAAAAAAATCGTAAAGCTGTTTGTTTCCTCCCATTCATTAATGCCGCTATATTCACATCTCTGCCATTTATGCAGTTGGAATGGGTAGTCGTTTGGTTTAGAGCCTTTTCTGACGATAAATACATAACAATTTTCAACAGTCTTTTGTTGTTCAGCAACTTCAAAAGCTTTATCCAAGCTCTCTACAGGCAGAAAAATATCAATGTCATTAGCATTATTTGTCTTGGCTTGTACTTCAAATTCCATAATTAATTTCCTAAATCGCACAGTTGTTTGGAATGTCGCATAGTTATTTAGAACTCACATCAACCCAGGCCATGCTTTTCTAAACGATAACGCATAGATCGCAAACTCAATTTAAGCGTTTTCGCGGCCTCAGTTTTATTGTTTTTATTTTGAGTCATTATCTGAGACAGAATATTTCTCTCAATACTATCTATATAATTTTCCAAGCCGCCTTCCAACAAAGCAGAGAGTTCTAATTCATTCAAAATTGCCTCATTTTTCTGCAGCAATGGTTTATTAAATGACTTTTGATTAGACTCAATTCTATCGAAGTCCGCAAGCGTAATTTGAGGATGATCAGAAAAGGTTACTGCGCGTTCAATAACATTTTGCAACTCACGAATATTGCCTTTAAATGGCTGATTCAGCAACCAAAGTTTAGCTTCTTCTGTGAATTGCTTACGCGGTAAAGACCAGTTGT